TCTCTCTCTCTCTCTCTCTCTCTCTCTCTCTCTCTCTCTCTCTCTCTCCATCTCTGTTGTGTCGCTTTGGCCAGAAACACTGGACTCTTCTCAATTGCAGTTTAATCAGGAAACCTTGAATAATCTTCTGACCCCGGGGAAAGCCAGCCCACATCTAAAATATCCCCTGGGTAGCTAACTCCAGCAAGCCATGTGGGAAATACAGATAGGCCCAGGTACACAGAAACAAGCCAGATCCTTAGCTTTAGCCATGTATGGAGTTATTTACAACTGAAAGCACATTCCACCTTGGGGGTGGAGTGTAGAGGCCCGTGCCATCTTTAAGGTGTGGCACAAAGCAGCTCACTACACATCTCTATATCTATCTATCTATCTATCTATCTATCTATCTATCTATCTATCTATGGTGTGTGTGTGTGTTCTTTTAAATGTGAATTCCACATACAAGTGAACATCTGGCATTTTTGAATCTGGCTTTTTTAAAAATCAATATCATGATCTCTACTTCTACCTTCATACTTACTGTTGGGGTGGTATAGCTGGATCTGATGGTAGCTCTGTTTCCAGCTTTTGATGAACCTCCTACTGTCTCCCTTGGTAGCTGTTCTAGTTCATTTTCCCACCACAGAGTGCCAGGGTTGCTTTCCTCATCTTCATTGTTAGTATAGTTTTCTCTTGGTGACAGCCACTGTTGGTGATAGCTCCTCTTGGTGACAGCCACTGTTGGTGATAGCTCCTCTTGGTGATAGTCACTCTTGGTGACAGCCATTCCGACTGGATGAGATAGATATATCCCAATGTAGTTTTGATTTGCATTTCCTTGATGGATGAGGAACACACACACACACACACACACACACACACACACACACACCAGCATGGTCTCCAGTGGCAGTACAGACCATGGACATCAACACGGTCCTTGGCCACAGCATGGACCATTGATATCATCATGGCCCTTGGTGGAAGCACAAAGCTATCAACATGGTTTCAGGTGGCAGCAAAGACCAATGATATCCGTATGGCTTTCAGTGGTAACACTGACCATGGGCAGCAACATGGCCTCCCAAGGAAGAAAAGATTACAAATATCCACATGGTCTCTGTCAGCAACAAAGACTATGAACCTCAACATGGACTCTGGCCAGACCATGGACATCAACATGGCCCTTGGCCTCAACATGAACAATGAACACCACCATGGCCCTTGATGGCAGCAGAGGCCATGAACATCAACATTGTGGGATAATACTCTTTTACCCTGTAAAGATTTGTCACTTGTATTGGTTTAATAAATTGCTGATTGACCAGTATTTAGGCAGGAAGTATAGGTGAGGCAACCAGACAAGGAGAATTCTGGGAAAAGAAAAGGAGAGAGTCAGTCACCAGTCAGATGCAAAGGAAACAAGATGAGAATGCTGTACTGAGAAAAGGTACCAAGTCATGTGGCTAAACATACACAAGAATTATGGGTGAATTCAAGTTGTAAAAGCTAGTTAATAATAAGCCTGAGCTAATAGGTCAAACAGTTTATAATTCATATAAGCCTCTGCATGTTTCTTTGGGACTGAATGGCTGTGGGACTGGGTGAGACAGACATTTCTGTCTATACAACATGGTTTCAGGTGGCAAAACAGATCACAGACATCCCCATGACCCCTGGTTGCAGCAAAGATCATGGACCTTGAAATGGTATCCAGCAGCACAGAGTGCAGACATCAACATTATCCTTGGCTGCAGCATCATGGCTCTCATTAGCAGCACAGACCATGGACATCAACATGGCTTCCAGTGGCAACATGACCCACAGACATCCACATGGCCTTAGTTGGCAGCACAGGGCACAGACATCCACACAGGCCCTGGCTGCAACAGGATCCAACATAGCCCTTGTGGTGGACATCCACAAGAACCTCAAGCATCAACATATTCTGGGTGGCAGCATGGCCTCCATGGCCCATGGGAGTCTGGTGAGGAGATAAATCCAGTAAATGAGCCATTCTCTATCTTGGACATCCTGTTATTGCTCACAGCAGGGGAGACTGTGTGACTGGGCAGGATGTTTGGGGGCAAAGCCTACTAGAGTGCCAGGTTGCTGTACCCCACCCTGTCATCCCTTCTCAGCAACAACATACTCTACTCTCTACCACGGCTTTCTCCCACACCTGTCACCTCTATCGAATCTCTAGCTCCACCTCTCCCCATGGGGCTCACACTGCTCCACTTGGCTCCTCCATCTTTCTCATTCCTCCACCACATGTTTGTCCTTTGAGTGGCACTGTAAACAGCAGTGTATCATGCAGTATATTTTCCTGCCCAAACAGCTTTACATACAAATACTTATTACAGTGAGTCTGGTTCAAGGTTTCTGATTTCCAAAGCACCGTTAATACTGGACCATAACAGGGACTTGACTCAATATCCTGTGGTTGTCCAAGGTCAGGGTGATCTTGCTGCTAGGCGGGGCATCCGGGGGTGGGGTGGGCAGGATTTGTGAGAGCTCCAGTCCTCCACCTGCCTTCCCTCCCTCTCGATGCCCAGCACCCCAAGGCTCCCTGGGCACAACCGGTGTGCTTACCATCTGTGGGCAGTGCCACGCCCGTGTTCTCCCCCATGCAAGGCTCTACTCCTCCATTTTTCCTTCCCACTTCTTGAGTTCACTTTTTGAAAGCATCTTCCCATAGGACCTGCTGGTTTTGCTTGTTCTAGGGATGCTGCCGGCCCTGCAGGCTCCTCCTCTGCCATTGCATCTCCACCTTGGATCCTCCATGGGTCTCCGAGGTTCTTGGAGCTGCTCCAGGGTCTCACAGCACATGCTGGAGGCAGCTACCATCTTCTGTCACAGCCATCCTTAGGTTTCTGACTTTGAGGGTAATGCCAGGCTCCTAGGTCTGGTTCTGCAGCACTGGCTCCTCCATGGCCCCCCAGCAGCATGCAGGTAGAGTGAAGGTTGGGGTAGACTGAATGGAAACTCTGGATCTCGGCCCAGATGGCAGCTGAGTTCACCAGCTGGTGGTAGTTCATGGTTCAGGTGCGGCACCCAAAAGCTCTTTGCATTATATGTCCTATAGAGTTAAATATCTTTATGGAACTCACAAACACAAAAGTTCAAGCAGATCTGACAAAATGACACTGTCACAGACTTTGATTCTGAGTATTTCCAACCACCACTCAATCACTCTGGAGCTGGTGGTGACATGGTTGAGTTAGAAAGAAAGGCTGCATTGGGAAAGATCTGGGAATGATGAGCGAGGAAGCAGAGATTGCGCTCATGTCTCATCATGCCTTGGAAGGAGCTGTTGAACTCGGTGGCTGCACTGCGCATCTCAGATCTTTAGAACGGAGAGGCTGATGTCCCTGCCTATCTGGATGGGTCGTGGGTCAGCAGGGAGCCTCATGGCCTGGCAAATAGGGAAGAGGTCAGCGGAGTTACCCAATAAGCCATAAGAACAAATCAATCTAGACCGTTTGTGGTTCCAAAAGCTAGCAGGAACTTGCCGCACACTCCTTCTTAGGCGCGGTTGGGCAATGGTCGGGAATGAGGGCAGGGAACCTTGAATTTTTCCTGTCCACAAGCAGCTGTAAGCCAAGAGTTAGCAGCTCCCGTGCCTTAACCTTGTGTCTTTTCTCAGCTCGATTCATCTTTGCGGGCAGGAGCTGCATGACGTGGGAGCAGTTGCTCAAGAAGGGAGCCTCATTGGCTTTCGGCTGGAGGAGGCCATAGGGCTGGGAGTCAAGGTCTCTTGGTGAGTGTAAGAGCCGAATGGGCTTTGGACCTCATGGCAATCAGATCAGTCACTTGAGCAAGAGAGGAAGAAGGAGGACAGCCAATGGCTGGGCTCTGGGAGGGGGTGGCCCCAGCAGGGAGTGTGCAGTGCACAAATGGTAAGAACGCACTGGGTGCAGATGGAGAAGCAGGGACAGAAAGGCCCGAGCTCTTGTCTGCTCCTCCATCCTTCTAATCACTTGAAGTTGAAGTTCACGTTCAATGGACCTTCCCTCGTGGAAAGGCCATCTTAAACACTATACTCGGTTTCTGGACTGAGGTATCAGGATCATCTGCAAGGAGTGAAGGAGCATGGGTTAGCAAAGATTATCTCAGTGGGCATTCACACTTGAAAAAAGCCTGGGAGGTCGTTTAGATGAACATTTGCTGCTGTTGATCCAGAAACATCACTAGAGGGAAAGGACTTTCCCAAGGACACAGGGTTTACAATGGCCCTGGATCTTTCACCCGAGGTCAGAAGATTGACACCAGGCCTGTTAAGGATTTCCTATGGACATCAGCTCCTCCTGGAATCCTTACCCCAGAGCTCTGCATTCATTGCCTGCTTCTGAATCCACCTTCAACCCACCAAGGGCACACCTAATCACAGAACAGCACAACTGTCCTGCGTTAAAAATATAACCAGTGTGCAGGCAGTGCCAGCCTACACACACACACACACACACACACACACACACACACACACACTACATGGAATGGGGGGAGGATAGAAGAGGAGAGAAGAGAAAGGAACCAGAAAAACATATCCCATTTTTAGGAAACAACTGGAAGCCCAAGCGGGATACTTGGCATGTGCTAAGTGATACTGTAAGCTGTGGAGAGACGGACTTGTCTTATCTGTACACTCAGGGTCGAACATGGAATCCAGCACGCCACGGGGCTTAGGCAAAAATCTCTTGAGGAAAATGGATGAGCACCGCAGGAGCCACGGGGTGATCCTCAGAACATCGCAGGAGTCCAGAGGAGGCAGAGTCTGAGCCTCTGTGAGTCCTGTGCTAATCTGTCCAGTGGATTTAGGTCAGGCTTCCTTCTAGATGGCAGAGATACCAGAGTGAGCAGAAAAATGAATGAGTGCTTGCTTACTGCTAAGAAGTGGACGTCCTGGTGGAGGGACAGAAACGAACTAGACCTCTGTGCCATTTTATGGTGCAACTCATGAGTGATTCATGGTGATTTGTATAGCTGAGGAAAATGAAGACAGACGAGATGAGAGAGGCTGGGTGAGAAGGGGTAGGAGGAAGGGGAGACACACTGGGCAAGATGTGTAGGAGGAGGGGGGAGACAGACTGGGTGAGAGGGGGTAGGAGGAAGGGAAGATGAGAGAGACTGGGTGAGAGTAGGCACTTTAGATGAAGAGGTCACGACAGCTTCCTTATGAAGGGGATTAGTTGCTCTGTAGCAAACCTCAGCACCAGGATTCTCCTCAAGTCTCCCCCAACTCACTGATCCTAAATATTCTTGTCCTGGCAGATTTTGTGTGTCAACTTGACAAAAGCTAGAGTCATTGGAGAGGAAGGAGCCTCAGTTGAGGAAATGCCTCCATGAGATCCAGCTGAAAGGCATTTTCTCACTTAGTGATTAATGGAGGAGGGCCCAGCCCATGGCAGGTGATGCCATCCCTGGGCTGATGATCCTGGGTTCTATAAGAAGGTGGGTTGAGCAAGCCAGGGGAAGCAAGCCAGTAAGCAGCACCCCTCCATGGCCTCCACATCGGCTCCTGCCTCCAGGTCCCTGCCCAGTTTGAGTTCCTGTCCTGAGTTCCATCAGTGGTGAGCAGCAATGTGGGAGTGTGAGCCAAATAAACCCTTTCCTCACCAACTTGCGCTTTGGCCGTGGAGTTTTGCTGCAGCAATAGAAACCCCAACTAAGACAATTGTTTCCCTTTGTTTGTTCACAGACACTCTAGGAGGAACATTTACTGGTGGGTGCCATGTGAGGAGTGGGGACAAAGGGAGATGTCAGTGAATTCACACTTGGTGATAGACATGGCCAGGTGACCCGGGACTCTGATTATTATTTAAACTACTTAGTCTGTAGCTTTTTAAGACTTTACTCAATAGTCCCCAACTTCAGGAGTCCAGTCTCTAGAGGTCAGTAGCTTTCAGGCAGGGTCATTGGAAAGATGTCTCAGTGGTGGAGAACCTCTGCTTGTTGTTCCTGCAGAGGGTCTAGATTTGGTCCCCAGAAGGCAGTTCACAGCCATCCAAATCTCCGGATATACAGACATTCATGTGAGCAGTACACTCATACACATACATGCTAAAAGTGGTTAGAAGGAGGATGTTCACCCATGTTGCACCCTGGCCTTTGAGAGACTCCCTGGAAACTTCCTTGTCAGGCAGCCAAACTGTCACCCACTTAGGACCATGGGGAGCCCTAATTAGGTGAATTAATCTAAAAGCATGTGTTAACTGTGAGGAACCATCTGAGCACCCGTTAGTATGATGTCTATAACCTTGTCTAACTGTGAGATTCTGTGGTTCTGGGGCAAACATCAGCAAGCTGAAGCTCTTTGACCAGGTCCATCTCACGCTCATACAACGCTCTAATTTCATTTTTTAAAAGCTTTACCTAGACACAGTCACACTCACTCATGCACCACTTGGGGCAGCTTTCACATTGCTTGACAGACTGAGTAGTCACGAGAAAGACTGTGGTCCACAGTGCCTGGAATATTTCTCTGGGGTCTTTGCATCAAAGTTTACCAAACCACATTAGAGTAGTTTAGAGCCTTTGTTATTGTTTAAAAATTAATTTTTTTCAGTTTTAAGTGTGTGTTTGTATGAGAGAGAGAGAGAGAGAGAGAGAGAGAGAGAGAGAGTTATGTGTACATGAGTGTAGGTGCATGCAGAGGCCAGAGGAGACTGTCAGATCCTCCAGGACTGGAGTAGGCAGTAGTGAGTCACCTGATGTGGGTTCTGGGAAGAGATATTCAGTCTCTGGGAGAGCGGTATGCACCTTTAGCCCTGGATCTCTCTCTTCAGTCACAACTTTGGGGCAGACATTCCTCTAATACCTCCGTGAAGGAGGAAGGAAGGTTCTATTAGCCTCATTTATAGAACAATGAACGTAAGTCCCTGTGAGATGTGCTTAGATCAAAGACACAGCATGAGTTTTCATTATTCAGGGCTCCCCGAGCCACTGATACATAGGTCTTCAAAGTTGAATATTTGAGCAAGGCAGGGGTGATGATAAATGCTTGTAAGCCCAGTACTCAGGAGCCAGAGGCGGGAGGATTGCTATGAATTTGAGCCAGCTAGTGCTGCATAACGAGACTCTACTTCAAAAGCAAAAACAAACTCCAGTAGAGGATTTATGTTCCATGCAGAAGAAATTTAATTTCTCTTAGAACAAAAAGTTCACATCAAATATTTAAAAGAAAAGTGAGAAGTTAAGAGTTGGTTTCATGAGAAAGAGCCTGGAGGTCCCCTGTTATTGGTGAAGTTCAGGTGCATTAAGCAGCAAATCTTCAATAGTTTGGAGCTCCAGAGACACAAACATCAAAGAGAAGCTGAGAACTGCTCACTGTGAGGGATGCTTATGCAAGTGCAAGGTGGAGGTGCACACGGACCACAGGGCAGGCACACACGGACCGCAGAGCAGGTGCACACGGACCACAGGGCAGGTGCACACGGACCACAGAGCAGGCGCACAAGGACCACAGAGCAGGCAGACGTGGACCACAGAGCAGGCGCACACGGACCACAGGGCAGGCGCACATGAACCACAGAGCAGGAAAGGTGAGCATGGACCACAGAGCAGGTGCACATGGACCACAGGGCAGGTGCACACAGACCACAGAGCAGGCGCACACGGACCACAGGGCAGGCGCACATGGACCACAGGGCAGGCGCTCATGGACCACAGGGCAGGCGCACATGGACTTACATGGCAGGCGCGCATGGACCACAGGGCAGGAGCATATGGACCACAGAGCAGGTGAGACTCCAAGGAACAGAGACAGAGGAAGGAGAGGCCATGCAGGAGCGGTCCCAGCCTGCAGCACAGTTATCATACCATGTCCGATAGCATGACGGTGAACGTGTGTGCCCGCATGTGCACGTGCATGAATACAGGGAAGAGCTGACTCCTTTCCGATGCTCAGCCATGGAACAGGACTAGCTTGAGTGGAATGCTGGGGTGGACCCAAAGGACAGTGCCATGAGGCCGTCATTCAGCTGTGCTCCTGTAGCAGATGACCTGAGGAGAGTGGCGCCTCTTGTGGCTGCTGTGGCACCCATAGTCTACCTGTGCATTATAGACTATGTTCTGTGCTAGGGCTGGAGACTACAGAGATATGAGGGCCATTGCTCCTATCTCCAGGGAGCTTGTGCTCTATTTGGGAATACCAAACCGGGGCACCTGAGCAGGCAGAGGTGTTGATTGAAGGCGAAGGCAATAATTAAAAGGGGTGGGCTATGGTGCGGTCAGATAATAGGAACAAGGTATTCTAGGACCCCAAGAGGAAAGCTTGAGATGTTCCCATCTGGCATTAGGACAGGTGTGTGTGTGTGTGTGTGTGTGTGTGTGTGTGTGTGTGTGTGTGTGTGTGTTCTGCATCATTTAAGGCTTTCCTGTGCCCATGACTTGCCTCTACCCCTTTGGCTCTAATTGAGTCTTTCAGTAGCATCCTGCAAGCCACACTCAGTGACATTTTATTAGCTAGCATCTGACTATAAACACGCCTATGGTATTGAAGAGCTATGGTCACTAATGAGTCACTAAAAGCATTCTACAGAAGTGTGTGTGGCCTCTTGTGGAACACTTCCTCCTCTCCCTTCCCACTGTAACCCAAATTGAGTTTAGGGCCTGGTACATTCTCTACCACAGCTCTCCTTTCGCCTTTTCTGAATTATGAGGGAGAGCTTCATCAGTTGTCCATGCTGGCCCGGAGCTCACTCTGTAGTCCAGGTTAGCTTTAAACTCACAGTCCTTCAGAGACACTGGGATTACAGGCCTGGGCCAAGAAGCATGGCTTCCTGCAGGACCCTTAATAACCAGAATGTGGCTAGCTACAATCTATGAGTAAGCCATTCATTAGCAACCATGTGTCTACCAAGTTCTCTAGCACATGATGAAGTGGTATGTAGGGATAGAGTCTTTTATTCTCACAAATTATGAACCAATAGAAAAATGCACATATAGAAAAATAAAAATATATGGAATGATAAATCATGCTGGGTCTCGAATACTCCCATCACACAAAATAACAGCAAGCATTTCCTATGACAGATTTTATTCCATTTTGACCCCACTCATCTCCCTGTTATTATTTTGGTGATAACTTCCAGACACTCTCCTTTTTCACTGGTGAATACTAAGGTATGTATTTCTGAAAGGTAATGTGTGATGTTCTTTCTCTTTTAAAATACTTCCACAGTACTGCTATGATGAGTTTTGTACCATTAAACCTCATGCTCTCTCTCATCTATGTTAGAGAGGTTGAAGTTGTAATTTGTATAACGTTCCTAGTCTATTCCCTACTGTGGGTGTAACACACGTGGGAAACTACAAACTAGAAGATCCACAACTCAGCATTCTGGCAGGATGTTAAGGTGATTCTCAGGCAGGCAGAACCTGAACCACAGTGGAGATGCTTTATTCAGGGATGTAACATAATTCGCTGGAATTTTTAGAAACACAGTTAATTTGTGTTATTCTCCACCTACTTTACAAAGAATCCATGACACATGTGAATGCTTTAACTTAATATTCACAGCCCTTCAGGGCCAAGAGTCTATGCTTCTGTAATGTTAGTGTGTTTTAGACGATCTGTGTGGTCCTGTTAAAATTTCTTGGCTAAGCTTGGTAGTGCATTTTTGTAATATCAGCCCTCAGGAAGTAGAGTCAGAAGGACCTGGGGTTCAGGATCTGTGAAGGTGCATCCACAGAGGTAAAGACAGTCTAAAGACATGCTTGGGCCCCTCTATCTGTCTATCTCTCAGACTACGGAAACAGTAGACTCCCCCAGTAGGATTTCCCAAACTCTCATGTTGGGAAAAGGTGTAAGCTTGTGCCAGCTAAGGTAGAGCTTGCTCAGCATGAGTCTTCGTATGGCTCTGGCAACTAGAGAGCTCCTCGCCGGATAGACACTGATGGTGGTGGGACCACACATTGAGAGAAGAGTTTAACTCTACATGCCTCTGTTTAAACCTAAACCCCAAGTCAGGACCCAGAGGAACTTCATGAGGAGGCCTCATGGAATCAGTTTGTTCCACTTTCCACTGTGGCCGCATTGACTCAGTCTCCTTTTTCTGCTTTTCACTATTTAACTTTTCATTGGTCTATTGAGGATGGGAGGAAAGCCTATTTAGACCCAGCTCTGATCCTAGTAGCAGCTTCATAGCAAGTTCAAGAGCAACTTGAACTAATTAGACCCTGTTTCAAAAATAATGCAAATTTCTGAGTAGGTATTGAGAGTTGATTCTATAAATTTATTTATTTAGTATCACTATTTAGACCTTTAATGTAGGGGCCATCTGACCACACTTTGGTGACTGTAGACAGAGGGAGCAAGTGTCAGAATCACATGCAATCAGAAGGACTGGCTCTTGTGGTTCATGGAGAACTTCCAGCCATTTGCAGGGGTTTACAATATGTTGGCAAAGTGCACATTTTGTCAGTGAAAGAGAGCGAGAGAACAGGGACAACCAGCAGCCCATGGGCTAGTGTGATTAATCTTGCAAATCTGTGTGGGCTTTTGTACTTGAATAGCTGCCAGGATTTAAATAGATGAAGGCTTCAGATCAGTTGACATGTCCAACTTCTCTTGACTTTCTTCTCTTGACTTTAGAGGCATTGGGGGCATTGCATCCCCACATTTTCCCCTTGCAATATTCTGCAGGAGGTAGTACATGTCTGTAGTCACGCTATCTCCATGGTCCTTAAGACCCCACTATTCCATGCTAGCCACATCAGAACCATTTTTATTCTACGTTACGTATTTATATATACCATATTAACTCTACATTAGCTGCCTAGCGCTTTGATGCTTCTGGCATTGTGATATACTGGGCAGTCTACACATTCACTGGCAGGTGCATGAGTATGAATGGGTGTGTGCCCCATCCTGGGTCAGTGATGATTTAGCCCACATCAAAGGTTTTTGTACAGTTATGACAGATGATACATCATTAGGTCCCATTATGGAGATGTCCCAAGAATGAAAGTTTGCTCAAAACTTCTTGTCTGGGATGAGAGATCCATCCCCAGACTAGGTACTCAAAAGTGCTTACAATGTGGTGATTCTCCTAGTCACAAGGAATTGATTTCTCTCTTTAAGGGCTGACATAAAGCCGAACAGTGGGGGCACATGTCTTTAACCCCCAGCACTCAGGAGCCAGAGGCAGGCTGATCTCTGTGAGTTCAAAGCTAGTCTGGTCTACATAGTGAGTTCCAGGACATCCAGAGCTACATAGTGAGATTCTGTCTTGAGAAAGAAAACATGAACCAAGGAGCCTGCTGCATGCCCACTATCCCAAGGTCTGCACAGAGCCTCAACAGTTAAAACTGAAGCCACTTGTACCTTCTCTGAAGACAACAGAACATATCTGGTTAAAGATGTGACACAGAGACAGAGAGGGAGGGAGAGAGAGAGACAGACAGAGAGAAAGGGAGAAAGAGAGAGAGAGAAAGGTGTGCGTAGAGAGGTATTCTCATAAAGACGGGTGTCTGTATGTGTGTAGATCTAGGTGTACAATTACATATCAACACACAAATGATTAGTGATTTGGATAGTTATACAGAGGCCATTGAGAGAGGATGGAAGTGAGTGGACGCTTACAAGACAGAAGTGAGTCTAAGAAGTCCTGTGGGCCCAAAGATGGATCATCAGGAAAAGATCACCACACAAGCCCAGACACCTGCGATTCATTCCTAGAATCCCTGTAAAAACCAGATGTGGTGGTGCATATCACAGCGTATCTGTGGTGAGATGGGAGCCAAGGACAGGAGGCTCATCCGGAAGCCTGGGAGCCAGTCAGTCTGGAGTACACTGTGCAGTAACAGAAATAACCGGGGAACCCTGACTCAGGCAAGGTAAGCTGAGAACCCACTCCCCGAAGTAGTTGACTTCTGAACCCCATGTGTGTGACAAGACAAGTGGATTCTCTCTCTCTCTCTCTCTCTCTCTCTCTCTCTCTCTCTCTCTCTCACACACACACACACACACACACACACACACAAATAAATAAATAAGCAAAAGAAGTTAAAGGAACTCATGGGTGACAACATATGATAGCATGGAGATAGATTCGAGTCACATAGCCTTTGATTCAAGTTTCAGCTCCTCCACGTATGTATTCATGGTATGGGCTTGGGCAGATGAACTGACCTCCAAATTCTGCTTTTTCACTCTCTGAAATGATTGTGAGCTTTCATGGGTGAAAACGTGACTGAGAAGCGTTGGTTTAGGTGAGTACCAAGAGCTATTGTTTCTCTACCCCAAGAAGACTCTACTGACCTATGCTGGCCCTGTTCTGAATCCACAACTGCCTCATGCTCCAAATTTGATTTCCCAAAAGATTGCACAGATATCCCTGAATAACAGAGCCTGAAACTAGCAGAATCACAGCCATTCCTTCAGGGAGCTTGTCTAACTGATTCTCTTTCTGATAATGACTAGCCAGGTGCCCTTGAGTGCTGCAAGTCATGCGCCTAAATAAATAAAATGAAAATCAAAGAAAGTTGGCGTGACTGTTTTGCAATAATCCAGGGTTCAGGATCTGTGAGCTGCATGGTGGTCCAAGGCCTTTGGTACTCACAGGGGTCGCTACCTGCTCGGTCATCCTTAGTGTCAGGTGGGAAGCACTTTGCCCTGAAAACCCAACTTCAGGAGTGGCCTGCGTCCAGCCTGTTACCTGCTCCCTCCTGCTCTGCTCGGCCTCATCTCTCACCACAGAGATTAAGCGTTTCTAGCAGAGCTCTGCCAGGGTTGTGGACTTTGGGACTGGCCAGATGATAAGAATGTGGGAGGACTCCTGCGGTCCCACTACCATGCTTGCCATCTCCGGTTGATATCTTTTGCTACGTGGTTCAGTCTGGAACATCTGATCAGGTTGTTAATCAAATAACCTCAAGGGTTGGGATGCAACATTCCTGGCCACAGGCAAACTGGGAAGCCAGCCTCCCAACATAACCTTCCTCAGATTCTTTCTGAGTTCTCTCCTGCTCTTGGGCTTTTCAGAGCCTCTTTGCCCCGCGTCTTCAGACTACCACAGTTGCAGAATCTACTTGGGTACCTCCCTGCTGTTTAGGAGGTCATCTTACCCTGTCTCACCCTAATCTATAGAGACTCACCCAAAGTCCCCATGTCTCCTTCTTGAACAACTAAGACATTAAGGGAAGTACTGCCCTTAGCCAGCTGCTGGAATGAAGGCCACCTGGGGCCAGTGACATCCAGGAATAAGACACTTACTGACTGCTCTGCGAAGGGCCCCCGACTCTAGCCTTAAGACAAGGATTTCATCCCTACTAGCCTTATGTAAAAACCTTTAGCCACAGTCTCAACTATTCCCCCCTCCCTTCAGTTTAAAAGAGTCCTCTTTGTTTCTCCTCACCTTGAGCTAAGCATCCTGAAAGCCAAGGCTAACTCTGGACAAGGGAAAGGAGATGTTTGTGCCTGAGGAACCAGGTCAGAAAGGATGTGAAACTTCTGGTTTCGATTCCTGGATGGGTAGCCTTTGGTAAACCACTCAAACTTTCTGGCTTCCCATGGCCACCCCCTTGAAATGGCAAAATGACCCTTCGTCTTGGCGTGGCTGACATGGTGGGGAGCTGACATGGTGGGAATGGGAGAGTGTGTAACCCAGCTTTATGTGCTAGGGCTCAGCTGCGGCTGTGCTAGTCTACCTTTGCTGAGAGAAAAGCCCTCCGGTAGCCGAGTCTCTCACCTGCTTCTCCTTCTTGCCCCCCTGTGACTTTGAGATTAAAGGATAGAGAACACTTGCCCAAGAATATTCCACAATCATTACTCATAGTGGTACGGAATTATTAATCAGTGGGTAAGCAGGCTGTCACATGTTTGTAGAATGGGTGGTAAAGGATGTGAAAGCGTCATGCTACATGAGAGAAGCAATGTGTGGAGCTGACATGTTCATGACAGCCTTATGAAAAGTGTCTGGAATGGGAGACTCCACAGAGAATCCAAGTAGATCAGGGGTTGGGCAGAGTATGGCAGGAGTTCTGGGGGAGCCGGTGGAGAGGGGAGCTAGAAGGGAAGTGAGTTAATTGAGAAGAGGGATCTTCAAAACTCTCTACAATAGACGAGATGTCACTCTTTTAAGTTCCTCTCAATGTTCAACTGCAACATAGCCACACCAGTTAAGGGCTTATGTTCTAGAAAGTTGGGGGAAGCTCCCCTGGATTTAGCTTCTGCAGCCAGGTCACAGGGCTGGCAGGATGCAGTGCCCATTATACAACTCCAGGCCAGCTGGGCCTCCAGAACACATCACCTTTACCATAGGTCTTTTATCTTAAAAGATCGGTGCTATCTTGTAAAGAACATAGTTGCAAAGGCTGAGCAGTTGGAGAGACCCCACCACTACACACAGGACAATTAACATTAAGAAGGTACCATGGTATGCAGGTACCAGCTGAAAGGAATGAGCACCAGTCCCCAAGGTATCCCCAACCTCATCAGTGTCACCAACAGGGAGCTGCATAGCCAGGGTCGAACATGCCTGCCCTCTGTTGACCCCCACACTATTCAGCTCCATTCAAGTCCTTTTCCCAGCCCCCCAGAGGCAGTGAGAAAGAATTCTTGGCAAAGTAGACACAGCCAGGCTGGGAGCCTAGAGCTCCATGTGATGCTCAGTGCAGCCCCCCCCCAGCCCCCAAAGAGAATGGGCTATTGAGCTCAGAGCTTCACTTCCTGGTTAGAAAATCCCCACCAAGCAAAGCCAAGAAGACACCCCAACCCCCACCCCACCCCCGTGCAGCATCATTAAATTATAACAAGCCCTAAAACCATCTCCAGAGCCTGGGCCTGCCTCTTCTCATGCCCTCAAGCTTGCGATTGGCTGAGGAAGCTCAGCCTAGCCGGCCTTATCGCCGGCTGGTTATTATTTGATGAAAGAGCCTTCCGTCTCCTCCTCTGCTGTTGCAAAACCATCCCGGGAGTGTTTGCTGCTGCCTGCCGTGCTTTTCTGGGGTCACTGCAGTGCACCCAAAGGCCTCTGGCCTCTAGTCACACAGATAGGCCCCGGAGGAGCTTTTAAACCACCCACGTCGAGGCTGTCTTCTGCTGGAGCTGCCTGGGACAGCTTTGCTAGCTGGCCGACGGGACATAATTCCTCAAACAGTACATCAAGGATACAGGTATACTTGAGCAGCTGGGGACACGGGGACCAAGTGTCTCAGGGTACGATGACTTTAGACATGGGGGTAGGATGAGTCTGGGAAAGAAATGAAGTGGAACACAGAACAAGTAGATGAAGGTGGGGGAAGCGAGACTGAGAAGAGAGAGCTGAGAATCACGGCACTCTGTGGAAAAGCAACACTCTTGGGCGGAAGGTGTTTGCAGCTTGGGTGAAGTGCATGGGTGTTTGCAATATGGCTGTTGCATGGGTTCGTCTGTGTGCACCCGAAGCAATTCTTGAGGTCTAAAGAGTATGTAGACTTGCACACTCTTTAGACATCTGCCACCTGTGACCCTGTCTCAGAGGAAAGCCCGATTTCTTTCACTTGTAACATCACTAAATCTGATTTGTAACTGGGACACGGCCTTCAAATGTGCTGTTGAGGGGTAAGAACCCAGGTCCTTGTATCCATATTCCAGCAAAATAATAGAACAAAGGAGAAGTTCTGAGCTGAGCACTTCATGCCCAAGCTAGCTCCCCAGTTTGAGATCTGTGCTGGATGCGCCGTGACTGTTCCGATGCCACCATGTCCTCCACGCGATGGTGTTTTCTGAGCTGGCATCTGGTAGAGTGCTCTGTAATTGACACCTCCCCTACAGGTGAGAGCTGGGCTCCAGGATGGATGAAAGGCAGGTGAAAGGTCCTAATTGTTAGGTCAGACCTGGAGGTGGCTGAGGCTGGCAGGATGTGGTGTTAAAACAAAGAAAGCCACTTTATTTTAGTGGTTGAGTGGGAAAGAATTCTTTCATGCTACTTTGGGTTTTTGTTTGTTTCTTTGTTTGAGACAATGTTTTACTATGAATCCCTGGCTGGTCTCAGATTCACAGACATCTGTTTGCCTCTCTCTCCCAATTGCTGGGATTCAAAGCGTGTGCCACCATGCCTAGCTACTTTGGGTTTCTTAAGTCCATCCCCAGTCTTGCATGCACATCACAGGTCACAGACCACCCACACAGATAGCCTTTCTTGGCCACCTATTCCCAGGTGTGCCTCTCCTGTTTGCCGTCTGTGGAGGAAGGAGAGGACGGCTCCATTGTATGTGTTTCTATATAGATGGCGGTGCCTCCTTGCTTTCTATGTGTTCCCCAGGAACTGCTTTTGTGGAGCCCCCTTGGTCTTTCTGGGAACAGCAGTCAGAGGTCTAGGGAACTCACCAGAGTAAATGCTGCTTTTCTTTGCCACTTAAGGGGCATGGCGGGGGTGGAGGACAAGCCACACCAGGACTTCCCTTCCTGTCTGCTTCTTCTCTGCTGTTTGGACATGTCCTCCTTCCCATGGTCTGGATGACCTAGCTCTGTTTGCTCTGGGGGCCTTCTTCACACTTTTTCTTCTCTGTTTTGCAAAATTCATGGTCCTTGAGCCCTGTGACCCTCCATACACACACCTCACTCACTCTGCTCCTGATCCTGGGTCTGGTCAAGTTGAAGGGCTACTACATCAGGGTCTCTCCGATGAGTATGTCTACCCTTTCTGCAAGCAAGTCAGGAGTCGAAGAACTTCCTCTACTGGACTACTCCGGGCTGTCTTGTGATTGATAGTTTCCGATCCATTGCCAATGCCAGATGGACAGCTTTGTGCGGGCAGGGAGCAGGCTTAGCATGGCAGCCAGGACCTGGAGCTGCACAGTTACTGGCATGCAGTATTTTCGCTGCTTACAACGTCTAACCCTGATGGAGAATCTTCTTCTCCCTGCTCAGCACCCTCCAAGTGCTTTGCGTTGACTGACTCAAACTTCAGAAAGAGCTGGGAAAGGAAAGAAATGTATCGGCCCATTTCAGGGATGAGCAGACTGTAAGTTAAGGGATGCACATTAGTTAATGCAGTAAACGGAGACTTCAGAGCCTCATGTTTTCACAACACAGTGATGTGGTGGAGCAGAGAGAAGAACCAGGACGGGGATGGCAGCAGGCTAACCAGCAGGCTAATGGCAGGAGTACAGCAAGGGCCCCACATGTTCTGGTAACCCTTTCGTGCCTGTGAGCTGCAAGCACTGACTCTGTCTCAGCTTGTGAGCTTAGCAGTGAGGACATGGTGGTTAAGTGGGTACAGACCTCCAAATGAAATGCTTTGGGGTCTAAACTTCACCCTCTATCAAGATCTGCCTTCTCCATTAGCCCTCCTCCTGCTTCCATAGACTGCCTGACCCATCTCAGTTCCTCCTGGAGAACCAGGGAGATTTCACGTCTGGCTTTGAAGTAACTAGCTAGCAATGAGAAGGCTTGGTGTTTTACCCACTGTGCCTCGCCCCGGTGAACCTCATTTGTCTCGTGCGTGGAATGCAGGGTTAAGGTCACCCTGTGCTCCAGAGCAGCATGGCCACTGGTGAGGGCAGGGGCTGGGACCGCGCAGCAGGCAGCTCCGGACTCAGCCACTCAGTTCCGCTTTGTCACCCAGTGGGAGCATTCTTTGGACCCTTGGCTTTGGGCTCACTGCCCCCTGATGCCTACCCTTGGAATGTTCCTGCCAGGCAGATGATCTTGCTCTATCTCCCTCCCTGTCACCAGAGGATCCTCAGTGTACAGGGTTCTCAGCCTTCCATTTCTTCCCTGGGCCTCAAGTTTAGCTTAGGTCACTAATGCTTGTGGGCCCATACTATTATCTGAGGTAACCCCTCTGAATTGCCACCAGTGTCTTAAAGGGACCATGCTCCCCGTCCTCTACTCCCAGAGAATGTTCTTTATGTCTTTGCTTCTATGCAAAGAGCCTCAACTTAAGGGACTGCTCTTGTTGGGTTAATCTTACTAGGATCACAGTAGAGCGTGGGAGGAAAAGGGTTATTCTGTTGTTTGTCTTTTTCGCAGCCAAATCCTATGCTTCTCCTTGGTATTTAAACCTTAGTTTCCCCATCTGTAAAACCGGTACAACGTTTTGTTTATAAATGACTTTGAGGACAGTGGTTATGTGATGCACTTACGGTGGTTTCAGCAGAGGGAACAGCGGTGAGAAAACCAGTTGCCCTTGCAGAAGCCAAGGCTGAAAGGGACATCGGGCATGGGCATTAAAGGCAGCAAACAAATAAACAGTCCATTTGCAACTGTGGAGAGGACAAAGGGCTGGCCTCAGAGGGGAGTGTGAGATGGTCAAGAAAGGGCTGCTTGGCAAACCACAGCATATGCACCCCTCATTTCAGGGGGTGCACAGCAGTAGCCCTGCATGAGCCAAAGACCTGCGCACTTTGGGGCTTAGAGTCTGAGAACAAGAGGAGAAAGCTGGGCTGAGTGGTCTCTAAGACATCATGCTGATGTCCCAGGTGCTCTTGATCCATGTCCAAGCACAGGGCGAGAGACTCATGTGACTTCCTTTCTGGTGCTCTTCTGTCCCATTTCCGCAAAGCTGCCTACTTGGCCTGCCCTAGGAGTACCATCTGCCTGCATCTGTCATCTTTGTCAGCTCGGCCAGGACACTGGAGACAACACTTATAAAAGCTAGTTAGCATCGTTTTGAGACAAAGCCAGTGGCTAGGAGTCCATTGGAAGGTTAAGTGATGAGAGAAGACTGCTAGCCTCAGGGTCCTGAACAACAGCAAGGGGAGCCTCTTGAACTTCCTCCTGCCTTGTAGGGTCGGCTCCCTTGGTCTCTTGCACCGTGCCCACTCTCTCCATCTCCCTCTTCTTATCTGGGGGCCTCGTTCCTGCCTTTAGCAGTCTCTAAGTCAATCCCTGCCCATTGCTTCCTGGGCACAAGGTGTAAAGAAACTTCCCAGGGGCCTGGATGTTTTAGGCAAAGGTGTCCCAAGAAAACAATTCCTGGGAGGGTGGAGCAGTGCTGTGAGCTAAGGCACAGAGCACTCTGCATTGGATTCTGGGTTTTAAAACTGCTCATTGGATGGGGCACTCCGAGGATCAGATGTTTAGAAAGGAACAAAGATGCTATGCAGAGAAACGGACCACCAAGAGCACATCCAAAGGCAGTTCAGACCGCACGTTATACTCCACGGCAGTCCCAGGCTTCTCCCTCTACTCAGAAGAAGAAAGTGACAGTACCGTTGCAAGGGGGGTCCATTGTCAACGCTCAGTTCCTGAACCTGATCCCCCCACATCAGTGACATCCAGTTCATCTCAGATATGGGATAGGGTTCTAGGTGTCATGCTGGGTGTGACAATGAAAGCCCTCTGTCACCGTTTCTGGTGCCTCAGTAGGAGCCCCCGCAGCAGCACTGCTGCAGTGGACATCATTCCCCGCTTTCCTACCCATCCTGCTGCCTCACTGCACTTAATTTGGAAGCTTAACTTTATCCCCACCCAGAATGGGGGTGTGACTGTATATGGCAGTCAACCCCCTGCCCCCCCCAAAACAGCAAACAAAAAGCCTAACCAAGTTAAATAAAACAACCCACTACCACCAGTCCCATCCGCTGCTCCACCTGAGTCTTGAAAGCTTCCCTGTGAGCCCTTGAACTAGCCTTCCCTGCAGAGGAGGGGTGGTTGCTAAGGCTGGGAACTCTTGAACACTGCTGGTAACACTGTGTATTTTGAATCAGTTTCAAACAGCAACTTGGAAGAACTAGGGCCTGGGAAAATGGGAACTTTAGCCTTGACAATGGAAACTAAAAAACCAGGCAGCATCAGAAGGGTGACTCCCCCTCCCCTGGTGTTGCTTCTATCTGGGCCTCTGCAGGGACTCACAGGAGATGCTGAGATTTTGTTTACAAGGCTGCAAGCACCTTGCAGCAGTCTTAATCCCATGTAATTATCTTGTTCCTTGATGCTTAGGGTGAACAGGATGAACAGGATGGGGGTACCCCCATACCAGGCAGCACAGCAGGCACCGTTACGTCACGGAACGTGCCATCACTCCGGGTCTTTAGCACTTTGTTTCTTCGGCCCCTTTGGTAGGCCAGTGTCCCTGACCGACCTCTGACTAGACCTGGAGCTCAGCCACAGGCAGAGTCACACCACCGAAGGAATGCACAGCCCCAAAGAGGAGACAGGTCATTAGTGAGAAATGAATGTGACATGG